TTTGTAAAATCATTTTGTTTGTTTTGTTGCGTGCAGAGCAAAAGAAAAGCACCCCCTTTTTCTGACACAATTTTATTACCTCATATGTCTAGTCATAAACAATGTGTGTATCACAAACAGTGTCACACAAATATCCAGTACATTAAAACACAAACAATCACACACAAACATACATAATTGTTTATACATACAATCACAGTCATACTGTTTTTGTAGCTTTGTTTCAGAAGTATTTATCTATATTATTATTATCATCTTTTTTCCCAATAGTTTGTTTTAATTGATTCCAAACAATAAAAATTAAGTTTAGAAATTACATACATATATACACACATAAAAGGGCACCCCCACGCACCCCCCCCACACACACACACATTTAACACTAATCACTTGTTTATTTAACAAAATATAAAGTCAAGGAAATCATTTGAATTGTTTTGTATAAAACATGTTATGTAAATACGCATGCAAAAGACATATATGAATAATAAGAATGATAACAATTTATTATGAATATGATGAACAAAGAAAGAGGACAAAATATACAGTTCCTCAGGTAGACAAAGGATCATCCTTTCACTGCTATTATGTAAAAATGTGTAGAACAGGTGTCACATGCATATTCACCTGTTCTACACATTTTTACATAATAGCAGTGATGGGATGTTCCTTTGTCTACCTGAGTCACTGTATATTTTGTCCGCCATGTTTATAGTGAGTGAGTGTGACATTGATACAACACATATCACAATAATGAGATGTTCAGATGGCAGGAACATATAGTTGTAAAAAGGCATACAAGTATGAAATATATTAAATTTAGTCTATAACATCTGTCAAGAAAGATTTTTTTTCCAGACGAGAAGGGAAATAATGTACTACTCAAAGGAAATGTACTACTCTAAGGTCAGTTAGAGGTAGCCAAGCGTAGGATGCATTTATTGCATACATTTGCATTTAAGACACACAGTATATAGGGTTTTGGTTATGCATGATATTGGCTATTGAATGTAAATGTAAATATAAATAGAAATAGCTTGCATTCCTAGGAGGTTTTGAATGTTAAGGACCTGGCAAAGAAAGGGTAAAAGAAGTGGCTTTAGAATAATGGGCAGAACCCTTCAAGTCAGTGCTACGGTGCAGACGTTTAATGCACAAGGTAGATTTATTTAGTAGCAGAAACATTTTCTTCAGAGAGACTTTCACGTCGGGGCGAGATAAGCTGTCAAGTCGACGGGAATTTCTACGCAGTCAATACAGTCATTAATAATCTTTTAATTATCACATACTCTTTAACATCTTAACTACAGGATTTGACATGAATTAACACTTACAACATTGGGTCTCGACAGGATTGACTTGATTAATAGTCGGCGGAATCACTGGGTAAATCTTCCCACTCACAGAAGAATTTGCTGTCCGTAGTGGTAAACGCCCCCACCGGCCAAAGTAAGTTATTACGAAAATGACGACAAAATTCTGTCCGCAACAAATATAATAAGTAACATTTTATACACAAATTTAGCAATTTTTTCATCAATCTTCAACAATGTTACCGAGTCACTTTAACAAGCACACAACCGTCATCAACCTGAGATGTACATGTAACAAAGATTACGTAGTATGGCCAATGTACATAATTTCAGCCCTAATACACATTGATTTCGGTACAAAATGATGAGGTTGGTGCGTGTCAATATATGGGATGAAGTTGTGCAGCTTCCGCCCAATGTATAGTCTAGTTATGGACCCTTTTATTGATTTTTTTTTATTCGCCGACTATAAGCGTTAAGCCGACTGATGGCGCTATCCTTAGTGACGGCCAGGGGGGCTTAACTCCGCTTCTGCATCCGTCTAGCCATGGGGAGATTTTGGAGGGTCAAAAGTGCACGCTGCTTCCACTTATCGTGTATTAGCCTATGAAGACGACAAATGTTTAGTGCACCAGCGAAATGGGGATTTTGGACTGCGCGCAGCGCGTAAAATATGTAAATTAAAATTTGGAATATTCATGAGCTCATTTCCACTTATTAGCATATTATCGTAATGAAAAAAGAGACAATGCGCATGTGTTACTCTCGACAGAATCCTTGGGCCGAATAAATGTAGAACAAAGGTCAGAGTCGGGGTAGCCTATAATCTAGGCGGAGTGCCGAGCTTTTTTCTTTGCTGCTAGACTAACCCTAAGCAGAACGTCTGATACGGCGAGACTACGAACCGTGAGTCGCGAAGCGGCTCACCGCCTAAAATCACTGGTCTAGCTAATCAATATTCATATATATTCAAAATGGCGGATCTATGAATCATTCAACAGCCCTACCAAATAAGGTACACCTATGTTACGTTCGACCAATCAGATATAAGAAACCGCAACGAAAAAAGATTGCGCGGTCGCGTAGAAAATCACAGCACAAGGGGATTGCTTGGTATATTGCACTCTTTCCAAAACCAGTAGGTAATGCAACAAAAATTTCCCTGCCGGCTTCAATAACGCTACGAATAGCTTCCTGCAGTTCTCTGAATTTTCCATTAGGAATGCCTAGTTTGTTGGCCGCATATGATAAACTTTCTCGCAGAAGATCGTCGTCGCATAAACTACCCGCCATCTTGGATGAAGAAAATGACGTAATGTCACGTGATTTATAATATGCATATGCATAGACTCTTCTCCATACGTGTTTCTGATTGGTTGAGTTCATTTCGTATTCATGAGGTTTTTTCGTACGAAAAACTGCCACGGATTCATGGTCGATAATAAAAAAAACAACGACTAAAGCTAGACCAGTGATTATAGGCGGTGAGCCGCTTCGCGGCTCACGGTTCGTAGTCTCGCCGTATCAGACGTTCTGCTTAAGGTTAGTCTAGCAGCAAAGAAAAAAGCTTGGCACTCCGCCTAGATTATAGGCTAGAGTCGGGGAGGTGGAGGGGGGGGGGGGGGGGGGGGTAATAAACTTTCAAATGGTTGTGACTTCACAAACTTCACTGTCACCAGGATCAGGATAGAAAGTACTTTGACAAAAATTAAGTTCAGTTAAAAAGCAAAAATAATGACCCCATTTCACCGTGATTACCTCAATTCATTTTTTACCTCTTTTTTGTGTGTTTTATTTTGTTCGTTTATTTACTTAAGTGATATTTTCATATTTCTAGTGTCCAAATAATGAATCATTCTCGCCTCGCCTTCAATGATCTTTCATATTGTGGCCCATCCCCAATGAAATTTCAATTTTGCCTCGTTCTTTTCATTCTTGCATTCGTCGCCACTGATTTTTTTAATAATTTGCCACCCCGGCCCCCCCCCCCCCCGACAGTAACATTTTCATTACAGGACCACTTCCAATATTGACATTTCACTAGGCTCTATTACCCTCCCTCCTCCATCCCCACCACAATTACCTATGCTGTCATTTTGGCATTGACTTATTCTTTATTTACCCCCCCCCCCACCCCATCTCTATTCTAAACCATTTTTTTATATTGCATTTATACTTAAGTCTTGCCCACTCTCTTGTTACATTTCCGCTTTTTCTCTCATTAGGAAAGATGGTTAAATCTATCTCACTGATGCCAGATCTATACAAAAAATCAAAAGGTCGAACACCATACTCAATTCTAAACAAGCCTGCATCAGCCCCCATCTCACCTCAGTCATACAGCATTATCATTACATAGTGCCTACATCATCATAATCACCAGCATCATCACATATATTTCACAAAATACTGACGTTTCCATAGGACCTACTACCCTCTCTCCTTCATACACCCCTCCCCCCCATCACCACCACCATGATCATACATGGTGTCATTTTGGAACTAAGTTATTATTCATTTAACTTCCCCCGCACCCTCCCCCCCTTCTCTATTGTAAACCATTTTTTTTATACTGCATTTATACTTTAACCTTGCCCACTCTCTTATTACATTCCCCCTTCTCTCTCATTAGAAAAGATGATTATAATCACTAGCATCATCACATAACTTCTAAAAAATAAGAAAATGAAAAGAAAAGAATTAAGCAGTATTAACTAATTTTATTAACATTTGTGAACATAATTTTTTTTATAATGATCTTTTAAAATACAACCTGAACTAAAGAAAGGTAACAAATGAACGGGGGAGGGGTGGCTGTCGTCTCTTGAACCTAAAATTGTTCAGATGTTTAATTCTACTATAGATTTAGAAAATTAGATATATTAAAATAAAATCCATATGATTTATTCAATTATCAACATGTAAAGCATGGGTATACATAGTCAAACCTGCTTTAGTGACCACCTGTCTACAAAGACCACATTTGTTTTGTTTCGTTTGAAAATGGTTTCTCATTGAAACATGTACTAAAGGAGCCTGTCTACATAGACCACTTTTTGTGTTTCCCTTGGGCGGTTGCTACGAGTACTTTTTCTTTTACATTGGACATTTTTGTTCATTGTCATCATTATTACTATCATTATTGTTATCCTCTAATTATTACTAATACTATTAGAGTACTACTATTGTACTATTCCTACATCATTTCATTTCCCCCACCTTGAATTTAGTATCCAGTTCAGCATCCCTAATAAATTGGTCAGAATTTGAATTCAGATTAAATATCAAAAAAGCTACCCGTATCTTACATGTACACACATTAAAAGAACAAAATACTTTTATGATCCTCGATATACCTCTTCTTCTTCTTCTTCTGGTAATATTCAAAGGGCTATACAGCTTATCACGAAGTGTTGGATACCGGAGTGTTGGCTCAGTCAGTAGAGCATCCGCCACACAACCGGGAGGTCGTGGGTTCGAAGCCCGGCCGCGTCATACCAAAAGACGTTAAAAGATGGGAGTTGTTGCTACCTTGTTTGGTGTTCAACAATAAGGGATAGAGCAACGTCGATCTGACGCTGCTCAGTGGCTGCCGGGCTCACGATCAATTGGGCAAAAAGAATTTCCGTTTCGGTTTAATAAAATTTGGAGTGGACTATTAGGCTATTATTATTATTATTATTATATTATTAGATGAACAAGTGAAGGGGTGTGAGGAAGACAGATGATATTTTTTTAATGGGATAAGGGCATTAGATGCCTCAGGAGTAGTCCCTTGCAGTTCGACCTGGCAGGACTGTCGGCATACATTTGCTGGAAGCCAGTTCCATTATTAAACTTTGGGACGGAGCGTTGGGCAAATACAAACGGATCTATGTCGCTTCTGGCTTGGTTCTCCCATGTTTGTGATATGTGAAGGAAAATAGGGCTTTCAAGGGAAAGGCAGAGAGACCATTGACTACCTTGTGCACAATTCCCAGTCTACATGCAGAGTGCCTTGTAGATAAGGTATGCCACTAAAATGTGCTGATCATCTCAGTCACACTGCTGGCTCTCTTGTATTTCCCATTGTGATGTAGCGTGCTGATGTAGAGATCTCAAGAGTTCTCAAGATGAGAGTGGATAGAAAGAAGCCTGGGTATCGAACCTTCTGCATGGGACAACCTGCATAATACAAACAAAAAGAGAGAAAGCAAATGAGATTAAAACTAGCTGCACCACATTAGATTTTTTTTTAATAGTTCCTTCCCACTTTTAGGTCTTACATTTTGGTTTTATTACAAAATGATAGACTTATGTTTATCTGATAGGGCCTTTTTTGAAGAATACAGTAAAGGTTTATATTCATTTCCAATTATTGAACAAGGAACTTTAAAATTGTTTTTCTTATATTATTATTATTATTTGTGAAACATTTGCTACATACAACAGGCAGTACATGTAGAGGTAGAAGTCTATTGAATAATTTTAAGTTGTTTATAAACATAGGAGTATCTACTGTTCAGTTGTCTGATTTTGTGAGAAATTTTTTGATACGGTATGTAATATTGAAGAAGAAAAAAAACCCTTTGAGTACGTATTGTAATATCATGCTGAGGGAATAAAGTGATTTGTTCATTAAGCAACACCGTAGTTTGTCACCTAAATAAAGCTAGAGAATAAATGAGAATTACAAGATATAATGCAACATTATAATTAAGATGGTAATTGGTGATTAGTCCAAGATGAGTGCGATGTTGGTATGGGCTTAGCCTTAGATTATACAGCCTGAATATTTTCGAACTTTATACAAACATACCTTGCCAGAGTTCAACTTAGGTGTCCTGTTCCTGAGATCTACACCATGACATATGATGATCAGGTACTGGTAGTGTCTGTTGCACATCTGTGGTCATTATCTGCTTTGGTTGCATAGGATCTACAATTAAAAGAAAACAGAAACTTAGTAAGGTTCGTGCAAGTAATAGTATCAAAATAAAATGCTTGCATTAGTTATCAGTTTATAACTTGGTTCATGACCTTTAGACTAGAGTTGGAAATACCCATGCCATACCAAATAAAAAGGGGGTAGCAAATAGTCCTGAAACTTTACTGTAAACAAGGTAAATATTTGGACATTACTAATACGTAAATAATATAAACCTATTTTCTCTCTAAACATGTAATTTTCCTCTAAATATTTCAAACAAGGCACAGTGCAATAACTTAGAAGTTAGAGCACAATCAAGAAAAAAGAGGGGTGGGGGTAAAATTAGGAAGCTAGGAAGGGACACCCTTTTTGTTTTGTTTTGTTGTTGTTGATATATCTAGCCTACATCCGAACTAAGCTGGACCTGGATACATAATGCCACACTAGCAATAGCATGACTAGATCTAGACTAGACCCTAGCCTAGGCCAGGGCCTTTGTCTTGCCCTTAGCCCGAATTTTCTGTCTCTTTCGTTCGTTAGCCTCTGATTTGGGTAGGGTTGGCTAAAGAGAGGAGCCGACTCTACCCAAATCAGAGGCTAACGAACGAAAGAGACAGAAAATTCAGGCTAGACTATGCTATGAATACTAGCCTAGGCTTTACAGTAACACTAAAGTGTAGCCTGTTAATATAGCCGCGCCAGCTCAGGAAACGCAGTCGCTTATTGGTGGAGTGTTACAGCCGGCTAGCACTGGCGAATTGAAATTCATAAACCGCTCCACGAAATCTCATCGGCTTGGACTAGCAATGGGTCATTTGCGCAGTCTACAAGTCTACATCTACTACCGATTACTATCGGTAATCAAGCTATGAACTGAACTTAAAATTATGAGATGTGCTGTAATGAAATAACCTACGGTAAACTCCTGATTGTTTCTAAAAATATTACCGTCGACGACTTAAATTAGATTTCATTTAATCAGTTAATATTCTTTGGTCAGAACAAAGAAAAAAAGATGGGGTAGGGGATTAACCGGGTAATACGTTGTGACAATGCGGAGAGCCCCTCACTGCAATGACGAACACATCACAATCATTTCAGATATCTTCACACAAAAATCCCGTGGGGGATGGGGGGGGGGGATATATCCCCCCAATATTTCAGGTGGGGGGGGGATGGCCTGTACAATCATTCCCCCCAATAATTCACCATCAAAACAAAACAAAAAATGAAGAGAAAAATTAAGGATAAGAGCCCGATGAGAGTAGTTAATGGTTATTACTCGCAAGATGACCATCAATATACACATTTTGCTATCTCATTTTCATAATACATACATATATACGAAGTAAATAAGACAACCGTATATAAGACAATAATAAATTGAATTCTCGCTCATACAGCTTCATCAGGAATTGATGAATTTATTCTATTTGTTCAATCAATAGCACCATAGAAATGCGGTGCCAGGTAAAATTGTGATCAATCAAATACAAATTGGCAACTCTGTGACTTATTATACGAGCTCTCCTTCATTTGCTTTGTGCATAATATTCCATAAAATCATGTTTTCTTCGTTATTGATGACGAAATATATATCTGTTCCTTGCAGGGGGAGTATAGAAACATATTTGCAATTATTATATTTAGGGTGCATGCATGGTTGAAATTTTTCTTGAGGGAAAATGAAAATTTTAGATTTTTTTAGTACTGAGCAAATGGAAGTTGAGCTCGCATGATACGTCATAGAGTTGCCAATTTGTGTTTGATTAATCACAACTTCAAAAATCCTAACTTCCTTATTTTTAATCGGAATTCGCTCAAACTTTCACTGACTTGTTTCTCTCATTTTTCTACTCCTATTAAAACTAACTTAATTTCAGGGTGGACTTCCCCTTTAAATCGGTACAAATACCCCTAAAATAAGACTTAACTAATAAAATACAATTGGAATTACTCATGAGTATTCTTATTGTATTGTATTCAGGTATTGTAGTCTTATTTTATTGTATAGCTCTTATTTTGTGCGTATTTGTACCAAGGTTGTAGAGGAATCATGTACTTTGACGAAAGCTATCAGTTGTCTGATGATCGCTTGCGAGGCGTGAAACTCGGAGTAGCAACCATGCATGTCCCATTAGTCTGCCTTATTCAATATTGATATACCGGTATATTATGCTTTTGTATAAGCAAATGGTACTGGTACACTGAGCAAACTTCTGGGGGAAAAGATTTCTAAAATCGAGAAGTTTGGCCATGTTTTATAGGCTGAGTTGTCGCTCCATGGTGTAATCATTAAATAAAAAGAAAAGTCAGTACAGCCCACAAAATAGGAACAGATATCTATGACCCCCCCCCCCACTTCTCCTTCACTTTTGAAGATTGTTGGACATTTCAACTGCGTGGCAATGACTACTATTATATGTAATTTCCAATAAATGCATATTTCCGACAATTCCACCTTCTTGTGGGCTTGGTATTTTGATACTCTGAAAGTAGGGTCCATGCTGAAACAAAGCAGAAAGCCATGTTATCAGTGCTAACCGCACCATCACATTCCCGAAGTGCTCACGTTGCAATAAAATATTGTCGATTACTATTGCGGTATAGAGTAGTCTGGGAAAAATCAATTAGCAGCTTTGTTACTCCGATACAAAGCAGCAAGCCGCCCATGTTACATCAATTAAAGAGAAGGTTGAGTTCTGGGGAAAGGTGAACAATAATGTGTGAGCGTTTGTTATCATTCTTATTATGCAAGTGTGGAAGAACATCAAAGAAAAAAGTTATTCCCTGAAAATCTATTTCATATGACTTCATATCCCAGATATGACAAGTAACAGCTTTAAAATGAGGCCCGATAATAATGTATGCCATATGTTTGTGTAGTCCCATATCAATATCTTTCTGTGTACCAAAGATTTTATCATTTTGATGACTCCAAAACCTTGCACTACACACCTATACTTACATGTTTATGGTAGATGATCAACCTTTTCTGATTGCTTCCACACCGTTTCTTTCACAATGCAATCGCAAGACCAGAACTCAACTTTATCTTTAAATGCCAACCGCACCATCACATTTTAGAGAAGCGCGCGCTTTGCAGAGGTTCGGTTTAAATTACATCGTTATTTATAATTGTCGGAGAGTTTAAAATGGGGATGAGCTTCTGAATCGAGACGGTCTTTTACTTTTTGGAGTGGGTTTTTAGTTTTCGGAGCGACTTTTTACTTTTCGGGCGACTTCTTGTTTTTTCTCATTCTTACTCCACTTCCTTTGCCGCCATGAGGTGCTAAAAGCTTTAGCAGAGTTCGGGGCGCCCAGCCCTTATATGTAACTTTTCGTGATTCCTCGTGATTATGTAACTATTTTGTACTAAATGCACTACTCACTTTAACACTTGACTTTTGTCGAGAATTTTCATTTCTTCGTTTGGTCTTTGTTCGTCTCTGGAATGTTACACGGGCTATGTTGCAGGCTGCCACCGGCCAAACCGGTCCGTTTCACAAACATTAACACATCAACCAATTCAAAATATCAAAAAATGTTAGACATTCATTATATGCAAGCCTGATCACAACAAAATAAATTTCAAAATCTATTTTCCACATTGTATTATCCTCGGGACATGTACGAAATACAACACACAGCCATTTATAAAATTTACATTATGGAAGAAAGGAATATAATAGACTAGCCCATGCAGTAGCAGTACGTCTCAACATTCTGTGTGATAAAAGTGTTGAGATATTATGACGGCACTCGTTTTTTTTGCTTGTACCTCTGACATTTTTACCTCTGACATTTTTATGCCTCCGCCACCGAAGGTGGTGCCGGAGGCATCATGTTTTCGGGTTGTCCGTCCGTACGTCCGTACGTCCGTCCGTACGTCCGTCCGTACGTCTGTACGTCCGTACGTCCGTCCCGTTTGACCGTTATCACAATATCTCAAGAACCATTTAAGATTTAAACTTAAGACTCGGGAATAGTATTTATCACCATAGGAAGACGGTCTGATTAGATTTTGGAGTACGTAGGTCAAAGGTCACAGGTCACAGAGGTCAACTTATGAAATTCCTTGTATTGAGTTTGTTAGCGCGATATCTCAAGAACCATTTGAGATTTAAACTTCAAACTTAAGGATAGTATGTATCACCATAGGAAGACGATCTGATTAGATTTTGGAGCACGTAGGTCAAAGGTCAAGGGTCACAGAGGTCAACTTATGAAATTCCATACATTGAGATTGTTATCATGATATCTCAAGAACCACTGGAGATTTAAACTTCAAACTTAGTGATAGTGTGTATCACTATAGGAAAACAATCTGATTACATTTTGGAGCACGTAGGTCAAAGGTCAAGGGTCATAGAGGTCAACTTATGAAATTCCATACATTGAGATTGTTATCATGATATCTCAAGAACCACTGGAGATGTAAAAACTTCAAACTTAAGGATAGTATGTATCACCATAGGAAGACGATCTGATTAGATTTTGGAGCACGTAGGTCAAAGGTCAAGGGTCACAGAGGTCAACTTATGAAATTCCATACATTGAGATTGTTATCATAATATCTCAAGAACCACTGGAGATTTAAACTTCAAACTTAATGATAGTGTGTATCACCATAGGAAGACAATCTGATTAGATTTCGGAGCACGTAGGTCAAAGGTCAAGGGTCACAGAGGTCAACTTATGAAATTCCATACATTGAGATCGTTATCGCGATATCTCAAGAACCACTGGAGAATTTTCACTTCAAACTTAATGATAGTATGTATCACCATATCATAATATCTCAAGAACCACTGGAGATTTAAACTTCAAACTTAATGATAGTGTGTATCACCATAGGAAGACAATCTGATTAGATTTTGGAGCACGTAGGTCAAAGGTCAAGGGTCACAGAGGTCAACTTATGAAATTCCATACATTGAGATTGTTATCATGATATCTCAAGAACCACTGGAGATTTAAACTCCAAACTTGTTTAAATTGCTCTATGGCGGAGGCATCATTTTCGACTGCGCGCAGTCAAAATTCCATCTAGTTACCTCTGACATTTTTACCTCTGACATTTTTTCCTCTGACATTTTTTCCTCTGACATTTTTTCCTCTGACATTTTTACCTCTGACATTTTTACCTCTGACATTTTTTCTTCTGACATTTTTACCTCTGACATTTTTTTCTCTGACATTTTTACCTCTGACATTTTTTCCTCTGACATTTTTACCTCTGACATTTTTACCTCTGACATTTTTACCTCTGACATTTTTACCTCTGACATTTTTTCCTCTGACATTTTTTCCTCTGACATTTTTTCCTCTGACATTTTTACACCGAGCCAGAAATGCAGTGCGCCAAATGCAAAGACGCCGCGTCAAAAAGCAACGAGCTAAATGTTAAGCGCGAAGCGCAAAAATAGCAATCTGCAATGCACATCAGACAATCCTGGACAGTGTAAACATAGATGAACTCTGTGACGATTTCGTGATGAGATCGGAGACAAGGAGAAAGATTTTCGGACATTAGTATGACTTATAAAATAGTTCTCTAGTTGTTATGTTGTTTCTATTCACCCTTTTTAAAATTCACGTCATTGTATCTTTATTTTTGTTTTTTTCACTCATTTTATTTCCTGATATTTCATAAAAGATTTTTCATTTTTGGAGAAAGATTATTATGTCACAACTTATTTGTAATACAAATTATATTCAGTGGGGAAACTGAATTCATACAAGGATTAATATAGAGAACAGTACAACGAATCGTCTTCTTTCTCTAATAATTCAGTGAGAAGGGCAAAGCTGTTAGGGGGCAACTGAATTCAGACGTGGATTAGGAGTAATAATCAAATGAAACGTCAAAGTACACGATACAACGAAGCGTCTTCTTTTACGAATAATTTAATGAAACGTAAAAGCTTCCGCGCTGAGCGCGGAATGGGCGAAAATGAATACAGACAAGGATTTAGATTAATAATTTATTGAAACGTTAAAGCTTCCGCGCTTCGCGCGGTAGGGGGAAACTGAGTTCATGAAGGACACGATACAACAAATCGTCTTCTTTCACTAATGTGAAAGCTTCCGCGCTTCGCGCAGGAATGGGCGAGAATGAATTCAGACAAGGATTAAGAGTCGAGAATGGTACATAGGATCGTCTTCTTTCTTTAATCACCTAATGAAACATCAGAGCTTTCGCGCTATGCGCGGGGCGCGGGGAAGGGGGTATTTGATTCAAACATTAAGGATTAAGAGTCGAGAATGGTACATCGAATCGTCTTCTTTCTTTAATAATCTGATGTAACGTCAGAGCTTCCGCGCTACGCGCGGAGGAAGGGGAACTTGATTCAAGCAAGGATTAAGAGTTGAGAATGGTACATCGAATCGTCTTCTGTCTTTAATAATTTAATGAAACGTCAGAGCTTCCGCGCTACGCGCGGAGGAAGGGGAACTTGATTTAAACAAGGATTGAGAGTCGAAAACGGTCCAACGAATCGTCTTCTTTCTCTCATAATTTAGTGAAACGTCAAAGCTTCCGTGCTTCGCCGGGGGGGGGGGGGGGACTCCCCCTCCCTGCACGCAACCCCCTAGGGACCGCGCTTTGCGTGCTCACTACCGCCCCTAAAATGAAATCATGGCTACGCGCTTGGGAGGGGTGCAACTTGCAACACGCTTCTACCTCTTGATTGCTTGATCCATTGCCGAAAATATTTTGGCACCTTTCATTCCCCCCCCCCCCCCCAACCACGGATACAAATCGACACCCTTGATCTTTACTTACTTTTTTGGTATCCGTATGGTATCACTTTGATGTCGATGTTCGCCTGAAGATTTTCTGCTCAACTGAGATGTATTTGACAAACTTCTATTATAATAGAAATTCACTTACAAGAAAAATGTTTCATTGTTCGTAATTGAAAAACTTCAAAGTCGCAGTTCATACAACCGCCATTTTTCGTCATTTTCTTGCTCAAATCGTAGGGAATTCTGGGAATGCAAAAAATGTTTTATGCATTACCTAATACATAAAACATTTTGTCGATGGCCAATCAACAAACAGTAGTTGGTGTATTTTTTACGTCATTGCTCATGAATATTCATTGACCCTCCAAAACCGTCGTTCAAACATCGAGGTTTGAGTTCGTTGCGTTCAAATCGGACAAAACCCCCATAATGCATCCAATGCAAAACCTATGAAATGTCAAAGGTCACGATTTTAGTTGGCCCTCTAGTCCTCCTACGGAGGACATACTGTGTATGATCGAATCTCTTTGATCAGCTGATTGGGTGCGCTACACGGAAACGGTTCAGAGGCTGGACCAGGCCCCCCAAGCTCCGCCATTTTGTCCGGATCCATTAGAAGCCAAAATAAGCCGCCATGCATAATTCATGAGTCTTATGAATTATGCATTCTGTAGGATGCTCCCCACGAAAAGTGTACTGGAATGATGTTCACTACATGGTAAAAGACAATACGCGTATCAGCGTAATTAGAGAGGTCAAATAATGTACTGTACGGAATTATGGGTAATTTATTCATCACGCTGCGCGCTAGCAACGCAAGTGATATAGCGAATCAGCGTGGATTATTCTGATGCGATCACCGTTAGGTGAAATGCGCGCTCGAACTTGAGGGTGAGTTAGTTAGGAGACCGATGTCCTTTATAATTTTATTTTTAAGAATAGTTTTCTCCTTTTGTATTAATTTTACATTGGTATACCGTTAATTTCACTGGGAAAACCACCCCCTGCCCTTACACATCAATACTGCTATTACTTCTAGCAACAGTAATTCTATAATTCAAAACGTTTTCATTTTCTAAATTCTTCTAATATAAACATATAACAAATATAATATTGTTTACACTTTTGCAACCTGTTACATGGTCCATGTAGAAACAGCACCAGGAAGAGGATAACAATTACCCCCCCCCCCCTGTTTTCTTAAGCTAGGAAGTATCAAAACATGATTCTATTAAAATTAGCAGTTTGGATACAAAAGGCAATGATGATTAGCAGTTTCCATATTAAGTGCATTTAGAGGGTTGTCTTTCAAACCTTCTTACATACAATACTTGAAGCAGCAATAATGTAATAATCTACACAACTTCAAATACAGAAGTCCATAGACTGAGGTAAATGAATTTCAACATGTATAATTATAATTAAAATATCATTGATTAATTCAATCTTTGATATAGACTGATAGATCTTTATCACTCAAATTTCAAGGAAATTTCTTTCTGCCCAGCCCTCAGTTTCATCCTATAAGATGGTAGTTGACATTGTTAAAATGTTAATGTTTATTCATTGATGATTAGTTATCTTTAATTATTTGAAAGTTGACAAGATGATAAATTCATTAGCTTTTTTTTAAATGTGGTACTCTACAAACATATAATACAAATAATAAATAAATAGTATGTAAATATTCAAGTTTAAACCCATCTCTACTGTCCTCTTTCATTATATGAGGGTGGCATCCTTAAGACGTAGTCCCATGTAGATGTCTTCTGCATTCATCAATGAAGTTGTAGGCTAGTTTTCAGAAGAAAGGGCTGTGATGATAACCCAAGTCTGTTGAACGGAAAAATGAAATAAGATACAGTGTATAAGAAAATAAACAACAACTAATAACATACACCCTGATACCTGCTCTGACAAAAAGAGGAAGGACTAATATTCACTTGGGATTCTAGTGGGCATGCAGCAACTATATTTCCTACAAGACTAGTTACTGACCACATGTTAGATTATTTCTAATGATCCCATTAAGACAATAGGCCTGATGGAGCTTAGATCAGAAAAGTATGAAATAAGTAATACCGGTACATGTACAATGTACTTGTAATGTAAACTCGTGGTCATAATTGAATAATACTCGGTTAAGAATGGGACATAAAATGACCAAACAACTTGGAACAGAGAATGTACTGGAAATAATGCTATTGAAACATACGTTATGTAGACTTATATTTCATGTATATCGACATTTTATTTTAAATCTAAATCACAATTTTGATATTCAGTCAAGTATTCTTTTACAAGTAACGGACAATGAAAAATATCTTTGTCAGATCTATAACTTTCTGCATGATATGTGTTCTACAATAGTTTATTGGGGGTACCTACATTGTATATTAGCACACTTGCTCGTATGAAGTGTAGTAGGCCCACATCTCTAGATATGATTCTGTCAATATCTGTTCTTTGTTCCTCTCCTGGGTTTGTAACCAGCATGCCTTCATCATCCACTGTAGAGAAGCATCATCCTACATAAGAGAAAACAATGTAGGTACTTCAATTAAAAAGTGATAATAATAGATACATAACAACCATAATACATCCTATAAACAGACTTTCATTAATCTTATTTTGTGTTCTTCTTCATCTTCATTGCTCAAGAAGTGAAAGGACCACTTACAAAAAAAAAGTAATGAGGGGTCCTGTGTATACCCTACATGTATGATTATTATTATTATTATTATGTAGTGCTTTTAATGTGCATTAGACATCCTTCTTCTACACACAGGACCTCCTGTAAATAAGGACAAATCCCTTTGTAAACAAAGAAAGGGAAGAACTAGAATAAAATATCCCCTCAGCTATATACACCTGCAACATAAACTTAGTTTCATTTTCTTTTGAGTGAATTAATAGGTGGTCGTTTAATATTTGTGTGCTAAATATCCAGAAAATTTTACCTGCATGGGACTTTCAGCTTCATCTTGCAAATATAAGAAATGTTGTAATGTCTACTCATCAGTTAACTCCTTCCAGCTCGATCTTCATCAGTTTCAATCTGTTGGAACAAAAGAAAACAAAATCAATATGACAATCAAGACGTCCCTTTCTCCTTAACAAAATAAAAATAGATCTAGCATAAAAGCTATTTTACATGTCATGGTTGGCCTTAATTTTAATATGGTGTGGAAATCTACATTCCAATTTAATGGACCACAGTACAAATTAAAATTAAATGGAAGATTTAACTTGTGCTTCAAAAAGTGCTTTATATGGCCTATACATATAAAGTAGTCTTAAGTAGAATTGGTTTATTAAGACAAGAAGAAGTGGACTACATAAGTAAACATAATTGTGGACTAGGGGTCTTCTCTTACACAAACAAATAGATTTATCAACATGAAATGCACAATTTGGAGAAGAAAAAAAATCTCTAATAAATTAAAAGAGTTAATAGGGGTCAGGCGCGTACGCAGGGGGGGGGGGGGGGTAACCCCCCCTTTTTGAGTGTTGATTTTTTTTTCTTCAAATTCTCAGTCGTTTTCTTTACTGGCTTCTTCACTTTCTTGGGGGCTTTTTTATTTTAAAAAATCCTAATGGATGACCTAAAAAAGATGACTCCCCCCCCCAAAAAAAAAGTCCTCTTACCCCCCCCCCCCGCTTATTCAGCGGCTGGCTGAGTCGTTGCGAAGTTTTTGTCCCGATTTCAAAATGTTAAACCCCCCCCCCCCCCCCTTGAAAAAATCCTGCGTACGCCAGAGATAGCTAGGGTCTAGATCTAGATCTAGTAGGCCTAGGTCTAGACTTTAGTATAATGACAACTTGACAAGCACGCTGGACCCACACGAAATCTAAATATTAAATAAACAAATCCTAGTGTTGATGTTTTTTAAAATATATTTTATTAATAAGTTTCAGGTTTACATCTAAATGAATAGGATTTGGAGTTGTTTGATTATCAATCATGGTCACAGATAATTTTGGTCTAGACTAAATAAAGTTGACACGCACCGCGGCCGCGTATGCAACTGAGCGAACGGATGGCACCGATATTGATAAGTAATATAGTAGCCCTGACCTACGGATCATAGGCTACTAAGTTACAATGCTTAGATGCTACAAAGGGACAAAGAACGGCACTTACCGGTATATAGCTCGGAGTATCTCTCAAGTTGTGTACCAGTCGGTGTATAGCAGTTCTCAATCTGGCGTCCCAGTGCAAGAAGACCAATGGCGCCCTCTTGTGGTAGGAGCTTGTAAGAACTTGTAAAAGCTTGTATGGGGGTGGGGGCAATTCCTACTACAGTAATTAGAGTCCACATCTAGGCCTACTAAGGATTTTAACAAGAATTAATCCACTTGGATTATCAAAACAAATCATGCTTCGTAGATTATTTTAAGGTGTAACGTTAAATCTAGATTTAAATTAAATCGGTGATTGGTGAATTAGATTCATGATGACGATCAAATTTGAAATAAAACTTGATTAGCATATTGCTCCGATTGTTTCATTTTCGCTCGCGTGAACATTGCCAGCACCGACCACTGACCTCTACCTCCTGTTCGGATCATCGCCCATTCCCATTCATTATACGTTACATACTAAAAGGCTGTATTGTCTGACCGTTCATGAATATTCATGTTTTTGCTTACCTCGGCTAAATGTTTGCTTTTACTAAATTGAAAAATTACGGTGGGGGGTTGGATGAAATGGACATACTGAAATAGGCAGAAGTGATCTATGATAATTCATGCTTTTTATGTTTCGTGTGCTCGACCTATAATCTTCAAATCGCTTGGCAAACTAAGTCAAAAGTTAGACTTGTTTCACATGTCTATTATAGGCAATGACGAGCTTGCAACCTATTTTGAAAAATTACGGTGGGTGAACTTTCAAAAGTCAATGAGACATGATGGCTCCAATGAAAGAGCTAGTGATAACGTACTTTGGGGTGGATGTGCTTTTCGTTTAAACAAAAAAATGAATTTTTAACGATTTAAAAAAAAAAAACGTCCATTGGCTAACATGTTAGGCTGCTGACCCTGACCATGCTCTGACGATAGGGGGCGTTGTGAAATGAGACTAAACGGAGCAATATGAAAGTTTGATCTTGATGCAAATGAGCACCGAAATTCCCCGGGGTGGGCCTGCCGGAAACCCGGGGCCCTTACTGGATTACTAGGGTGAAATGACGGCAAACCGCAGTCAAACTACTTCATGACGATGAAAATCAAAGTACAATTTCAAGAGCAATATTTTACTAGTCTTTTCCCCAAAAATCTGTTGAGAACTGTCTCCAAATGTAACGAAATTGCCGTACATCACGAAGACTATTGCAGCTTTTTCAAAATTGATGACTAAATTCACTTAAAGGTACTATGTCCCATTTGCAGGCCAAAAAATGAAAAAGTTAAATTCCAACTGCATTTGAAAGATAATACTAATTTAGAACTTCCCTAAAAAAGGTGGGGCTTGAAAATGTCTTCAAGTAGGAAAATAAATACTATTAGTTGTCGAATCGACTTTAGGGCTATAGAGCCCAAAAGTAATAGTCTTGATTTTCAGACAATTGTACCCAATGGTCATACGTTTTATGTTGCGCAAATATTCAATCAGTTTAATCTTGGCCATCACAAGAAGTGGGTTATTGATGTAGACAAATGCTCATGTACCCTTTACAACTCATTTTATGTATGTTATTACCAAAGAAGAAAAAAAAAGCCAGTCACTCACTCAATAGTGTCTGACAGTGAAGTCTAGCAAGTAAACAGGTTTCCTTGCATAATTTGAATATTAGGACACTGCTAAGGTTTAAATTTCACAGATAGGACATACATGACATATTCATAATTCCTGCAAAATTCTACAGAATTTGAAGTTGGCTGCAAAAGGGACAAAGTATCTTTAATCTACTCATATTTCAATCAATTACTCATCCATTCTTAATGAACTAACTCTTCTCAGTTTGTGCGAGTGTAGTAGCGTCGTGCATAAATCTGCATAATTAAAGTGACGCAATGAGGTCAAATATATTATCCGGTTTCTTTAACGATACTATCGATAAAATACATATTCATGAGGCACTTATCCAATCAAAAGCCGCCTCGGGTGCTTATTTTGTCTTCAAATGATCCAAAAGAGGCGGAGCCCAATCCCATTCGTCTGCATGGTTTCCGCGCGTGCTGCTTTCCGTCTAGTAATTATATTTAAACGTCTTTGGGCTGGACAAACTACTCACTCGTGTGGAAGGCCGAGTATACGGCATCTGCAAGAATCTTCAGTATTGAAGGAGGCAGATTATCTTGAAGAAGAAGGCAATACATAATAAGCAGCATATTATGTTCTGGCGTTCAACAGGTTGGTTGTCTATTCTGGTGTAGGGTACAGCGAAGCACGGGCTCGGATTTCTTATTTGTTTCCAAGATAAAGGCAGACAGAAGACACTGGAATCACCGGACTCATATTGCATAAGGTAACTTTATTCAGTTTCGTGATTTTATTTTGTTGGTGTTTATTATTTTCTCTCTCTCACTCTTTCTCCATCTTCATTTCTCCAATATCACTATCAGTATTTCTAAAGCATCTCTTTTCAGGACAAAAACTTGAATCTTTTATTTAAAAACGTATTATTTGTTCTACATGTATTCTAGGAGAGGGAAAGTCATCGAAGATTGGGATATTTTTTGAGCTGCGTGTAGTTATTTCAGACAGTTTTACCCCCCCAACCCCAACCCAAGAAGAAGAAAAAAAAAAGAGACTAGAAACTGATGATAACGAAAAATAATACTCCTTAATTGTATTATTGTTTCAGAGTTTTATCTCTTTATGAGTTGGAAATTAGTATTTCAAATGTGTGATCATATTGTTATCATATGAAATTATTTTATTGATTTCCGAAGGTTACATATCCTTTTATTCAAACTAATATGATGATGGTGAACAAAATGATGGTGATGGTGATGATGACGATGATGATAATGATGATGATGATGCTGATGATGATTATACTAATGATGATAATGATGATAACAATTATGATGAGATAATGATGATGAAAATGATAATAATGGTATGAATGAGAGGGATCGTGATGATGAAATACAGATGCATTGGATACTAAAGTATCGTAGTTAATTTTACCCTGGCTTAGTCGAGCTACCGTAATCTGTACGGTAGGCCTACACGAGTAATCATCCAGTGAGTCAAATTCCATCTTTATCAATGAAAGCTTGACACAACATCGTAACAAACTCTACTGGAAAGTCAAAAGAGGTCTGGAAAGTAAAGATTACAAACTCTGGACGGCAAAATTATTGTCACGAAACCGAACGGCGAAAAGGTGACTATTGTCAGAGAAAAAGACTTATCGAAACTAGGCAATAATTGTTGAAAAGCTGTGTTTCTTTGTCGAAATCTCATCTTATTTTGATTTAATGCATGTTCATTTCGTTCTCTGTGGTTTTTGGCTAGCAACGTTTATTTTCGTTATTCATTTTTTGTTTCGTTTACTATTCCATGTGAATTATTTACATGCCAATTAAGTATGCGTGTGCATGTTGCAAGAAACCAGTAAAATGCAATCAGAGAGCTCTTCTCTGTACAAACTGTAAAAATTGGGCCCATATTACGTGTGCCCGTGTATCTCTATCTCAATACAATGATAGAAAAGAACATTTTGAAAATTGGAGTTGTCCAACTTGTATCCTTCAAGACTTGCCCTTTTTTAATGAAGAGTTAGACGTAGATCGTGAACCCTGCGCCGGTAATGCGTCAAACTTAGAACGTTACACGAATCTTATTAAGAATGTAGATCAAAATTATAGTATTTATGATAAAGGATTGTCAATATCCCATCTTAATGTTAGAAGTTTACGAAATAAAAAAGAAGAAATTGAAATTTTTATAAGTAACAATTCAGTTGATTTATTCACAATGTCTGAGACCTGGATTGACGATTTTTTTTTACTTCGAACATGTTAGACATTCCAGGTTACATCTTCGAAAGAACAGATAAAGGTATTCGAGGTGGAGGAGTTGGGTGTTACATAAGAAATAATATAGGATATGTTACAAGACGTGATCTTGAAAAAGACGATTTGGAAATAATGTGGTTTGAATTGAGGGCTAGAAATCGATTACCATTTTTTGTAGGTGTCGTATATAGCAAACCTACATGTATATCCTTTTTTAAAAGCCTAGAATCAAACCTAGACCAAGTATTTTCTTTTACAAATAATGTTATAGTCCTCGGTGACTTTAACTCCAATATGCTGACTAAAAATACCCTTTCAAATAAGATGCATGAACTTTGTTCCACCTTTCAGTTAACTCAGCTTATCCGAGAACCAACAAGAATAACTCCTTTCAGCAGTACTTTAATTGACGTTATTTGTGTTTCTAGTTCAATGCTATCCAATATAAAGCAATCTGGAACAATTTCAAGTGGACTAAGTAACCACTCCCTAGTCTATTTGATCCTTGGACATAATACCCCAAAAGCTAAGCCGAAATCTTTTCATTTAGATCGTTTAGGCATTTTGTCCTTGAACATTTTTTCGAAGACCTATGTAAAATACAATGGAATGACCTATTATCGTCCGAAGAGGACGTAGAGTATTGCTGGGAGAAATTCAGTAAAGTATTCAAGGCATTAGCTGATAAACATGCTCCCCATGTTACAGTAAGAAAGAAACTGAATGGGTCTCCCTGGATTACAACTGAATACCTGGCTCTATCTAGGGGTCGTGACTTTTATAAAAGAAAGTTTGACAAACTTAACAAATCAGCAGAAGCAGGTCAGGAAATCAATGAACTTTGGAATGAATATAAATATCTCAGAAATAAAGTAAATATCTTAAATAAAAAGCTGAAAAGGGACTTTTTTCGCAACAAATTTCAACAATGTGCAAACAAATTGCAAGATTCGTGGAAAGTCCTGAACAAATTACTCTCGAAGAAAAAGGATTCAGTTAATCCGAATATTAACACAGGAACTCATATGACTTCAGATAAGGTAGAAATTGCAACGTCGTTCAATGGATTGTTTGTCAGTGTTGGAAAACGACATTCTCCTCTCAACCAACAAAGTTTAAATTCCTTGAATACATTATCAAAGGTTGGATCAACGTTTAAACTCCAAAGCATAGATTCGGAGTTTGTAAAAAGAGAACTTGGTGTTAACAAAGCTGTTGGTCTGGACGACTTACATCCAAGATTATTGAAAATCGCTGCCCCTTTTATTGCTGAACCACTTTCAATAGTCTTTAACAAATTTCTAAGCTCAGGATGCTTCCCAAGTGATTTCAAAAGAGCCAAGATTATTCCAGTACCACAAAGTAGTGAAACCAGTGACATTGGCAATTATAGGCCGATTTCTTTATTGTCCTGTCTGTCAAAGATTCTTGAAAAGGCAGTTCATGCCCAGCTTTATGAGTATCTCCAAGAATAGAAACTGCTATCTCAGCGCCAATTGGGTTTTCGCCCAAAGCATTCAACTGCAACTTGTCTAATTGAAATAACTGATTACTTGTTAAACAATATTGACTGTGGTTTGATAACAGGGGCGATATTCCTTGATCTCAAAAAGGCGTTTGATGTTATATCTCACGAAATATTGTTATTGAAAATGCCATATTATGGTATTAATTCTGTTGAATTAGACTGGTTCTCTTCATACCTAACGAATAGGCAACAATGCGTCTCATTTCAAGGTGTCCAAAGCAATTTTCTACTGCGTAAATGGTTTGAAATAAATAATATGGAAATAAATGCAAAGAAAACTAAAGTGATGGTCTTTGGAACGAAACATAAAACTAAGAACCGAATTTTGAAAATCTGTCATGGACGAGACTATCTTGAGAATGTTACCGAGATCAAATATTTAGGCGTAACCCTTGACCAAAGTCTAATTTGGACACCACACATATTGAATGTGACTTATAAGATTAATCGGGCTATTGCATGCACTAGAAGGATTAAGAGTTATTTGAACCAAAGCCTACTGAAACATCTTTATTACTCCCTCATTCTTTCACATATAGATTACTGTTCAGTTGTTTGGGGCTACTGCAAAAAGAAAGATTTACTCAAATTACAGAGGACGCAGAACAGATATGCAAGATTAGTCCTTAATGCAGACTATCTAACCCTAAAAGACATCCTTTTAAGCACTCGTCAATGGCAAAGTGTTGAACATACAATCAACTACCACTACTGCATTTTCGTCTACAAAATACTCAATAATCTAGCCCCTTATTATTTAGAACCGTTTGCTTGTAAACGTCCAGTTTACTATGTTACTCGTCATTCTACCTTAAATCCCTTATTTATCCCGAAACCCAAGACTGAATTAAAAAAACGATCTTTTTCTTTCATCGCTCCAAGCATCTATAACAATCTACTGACTCATATTCGCACGGCAAGTTCACTCCAAATGTTCAAAAAACAAATTAAATCACTCCCTCCACTTTAATGCATGCACTGGTACCTAATGTTATATCATGACTTATTACAGTTAGTTTTGTTTGTTTGTAGTTGTGTAGTCTGTAGTAGTTTTATTTCTTACCTTTTACCCTTTTAATTTTATGTCTGTTATTTATGGCATGTGTATTTGTATATGTATTTTGTTTTGTATCAATAATTTCTTTAATGTTTAATATTTCAGGCCTTATGTTAATTTTTCTTCTAGTGTATTCTTTTTTTTCTAAACCTTTGTATATACAGGGCTCTTTTGTAAAGCAGGCCTCTGGCACTGAAAAGACTACCCTATTAAAAAAAAAAAAAAACTGAATAAATAAATCAAGAATTTTTTTCCCGTCGGGTAATTATTTACCTCTCCTGGAATGGGAGAGGCAGATTGAGATGAATGCCCTGTTACTGGAATGGTAGTGCCGTGTGATCCTCTTACATACACACAATTGCCTATCATATCAGTATATGTAATTATATCATAATATTCATTGCAACAGTTTAGGCCTGAACGAACCCAATAGCTTGATCAAGACTTTGCAGTCATTGTAGTCTTACGTGATCAAATTCATGTTACCTTGGCCACATAATAGCTTGGCAAATGACCAAAGATTTAATTACTGAAAACGAGGAGACTGAATCAATACTATTTAGAATTGCCAGCGCATCGTTTATCATTTTACTTATTTGATTATCAGACATTTTGAAAACGTATAACGATGCAGAAGGAAAATATAACTTTGTTTATGCATATCACAGATATCAAGCCGACAGATAAAAAAGAAAAATGTTTTTCATATTTTCCTGAAGAAATCCATAATTATTCTGGTATCACCCCAGACCATTCATTCATTCCTCATTATGCCAATATTCCAAATATTTGAGCAATATTGTAGGCTATGACAGGCGCATATAGCTCCGTTTGGTCTCATTTGAGAACGTCTCCTATCGTCAGAATCCACCAGCCTATAAACATGTTATGGACTTATACCACAAACAAAAAAA